GTACCTTGCCTTGATTACTGTTGCTTTTCAGTAAGTTCTGAAGTTGGGAACCGTAAGTTCTTCAGCTTTGTTCTTTTTCAAGACAGTTTTGGCTACTTGGAGCCCATTGTAATTCCGTATGAATTTTGGACTCAGCCTGCCGAGTTCCACCAGGACGCCAGCTGGGAGCGTGACAGGGATTGTGGTGAATCTGGGAGGGTGTGCGGCCGGCTTCACGATGGTGCCTCTTCCTGTTTGTTGGATGGCGTTCCAGTTATTTAGACCTTTGTTTTTACGTCAACAATCTTTTGTAGTTTCCAGAGCATGTATTGTGTACTTTGTCACTTTTATTCCTGAATGCTTTCTTTTTGAGGCTGTTGTCAACGAACTTTTATTAATTCCATTTTTAGATTGATCATTGCACATGTATAGGGATACAGTTTGTTTCCGTGTATTGGTCTTGTAGTTTACAACCTTGCTGAATTTACCAGTTCCTTAGGGTTCTCCCTATGTAAGATCTCTTAGAGATAGTCTTACTTCTGTTCCAATTTGGGTGCCTTTTATGTTTTGTTCTTACATGACAGCCCTTGGCTGGAACCTTTAGAGCAACATTGAGTAGAAGCAGCAAGAGCAGACGCCCCTGATTTGTTCCTGGTCTTACTGGGACGGCGCTCAGCCTCTCATCATTACGTGTAACGTTAGCTGTGGGCTTTTTGTAGATCCCCTTTATCAGGTTGAAGAAGTGCCCTTTGTTTCCTAATTTGTTGAATTTTTTTTTAATCATGAAAGGATTTTGTCAAATCTCTTTTCTGTATCAATTGATATTATCATATGGTTTTTATTTTTTATTCTATAGTTATAATATGTTAGTTTATTTTTGGATATTAAAACCAACGTTGCATTCCTGGGATAGACCCACTTGGTCATGGCATGTGATCCTTCTTATATGTTCCTGAACTCAATTTGTTATTATTCTGTTGAAGATTTTTGTGTCCACACTCTTAAGAGATAATTGGCCTGTAGTCTTCATTTTTGGCCTTTTTGAATGAGCTGCGAAGTGTTTCAGCCTCTTCTTTTGGAGGGGCAAAGTTTTGAGAAGGATTGATGGCAATTCTTTAAATATTTGATAGGATTTGCCAGTGAAGCTATCTGGGTCTGGGCTTTTCTTTGTAATACCCTGTTGGTTTGACACCCAGTTCAGTCTCTTCACTTGTTACAAGTCTAATTGTATTGTCTGTTTCTCCTTTAGCCCTTTTTGGTGATTTGTATCTTTTTAGGAATTTGTCTATTTCATCCAAGTTGTCTAATTCATTGTCCTACGGTTATTTATAGTTTAGAGTTTTCCTTTTCTTCTTGAAGTACATCCTTTAGAAGTTACATTAGTGACAGTCTTTTGGTAAATTCTCTCTGTATGTGTCTATCTGGATATGTTTATATTTTGTCACAGGTTTGAAAGGTAATTTTCAAAAGCACAAAGAGGATTGATTGTTTTTCTCTTGGTATTTAACCGTTTTATGCAGCATCATTTGACCGTGGATGTTGCTACTGAGATGTTTTCTGTCTGTCGATCTGTCCTCTCACAGGAGGTGAATTTTTTTCTCTACGACTGGTTTTAATGTCTTCTCTTTTTCTATTTGACATTTTAGTGCAATGTGATGAGGTGTGGTGTACTTTTTATTTATTCTGCTTGGTGTATGTTGTGCTTTCTCTGTTTGTGGGTTTGTCTTTTTTTTCTTTTTTTTTCCTGTTCAGGAAGCATTTTATTGTTGCTCCAAACTTAAGAATTTTCACTGACAGAAAATCAACACTTTTAGGAAATCTCCCGCATTGCTCTGCTCAGCTTCTGAATCTTGGTTTTTGCAGACATATCAACATATTTCTCTCCAATTCGGTCAATCATTCCACCCATGATTGACGGGTCAGTCTTAACTTCCAATTTCAAGACTTGGCCTTTACTTAGGAAGCTCTTCAGGACCATTTTTAGTTCAGTAAGAGTGGCTTCATCTAAAGTAGATGTAGTGGTAATCATGCAAGGTACTTCTCCATGGTGGACACTCATCATGGTGAAGAAGGCAGAGATGACGCCAGGCGTGTTGCTCAAGCGACCATTCTCAGCAAGCAAGTTGATCAGTTTGGACGTGAGGGGAGAAAACGTCTCTTTTGCTGACATGTCATTCAGGCTTTTCACTTTAATGGAATTCTTTACATAGGGATTCATAATATAAGCTGCCATTTTGGGTTCCTTCAAGATTTGTGCTACTCTCAGCAATTCCTTTTCCACTTGCTCCAGTTTATTCTGTTTAGACGCAGCAGAATAGAGAGCGGTGGCCTAGCGACCTTTGATACCATGTATTTGAACAGGTGGCCTCACAAGCTTGGCAGATGGCCTGACCACAGATGTACTGAAGCGTCGCACCTGCCGGGAGAGCCCGGATACCACTGGGGTGGCCATCATCTCCTGGGTGGTGTAGGTCAAACCCGAGTTGACGAGTGAGCGATTTGTCTTGTAGTTCTGGAAAATTCTCATCCATTTTCTCTTCATATGTTTTCTTCATTATCCTGTTTTCTTCTTCTAGGCCTCTAATTAGGTATCTATCAGACTTCATTTTTATAATTTTCTTCAGTTCTACCTTCCCGTTCACTGAGTCTTTCTTTACCTGTATCTAATCTGCTAGTTCATTTGTTCATTGAGTTTTCCATTTCAGTAGTTAAATGTTTAATTTCTCAAAGTTCTGTTTGGTTCATTTTCACATCTCCTTGGTATTTTTGATAGTTCCTTGCTTGTCCACTTTTAAATATCTTTTATTCCTTTAAGCAGTTTATGAATAGTTATTTTATATTCTGTATCTGACATCAGATACAATAAAAACCTTGGAGGTGAAAAAGCTCTTGTTATTTTGGCTGACCCATCCATGCTTGTTTGCTTGGGTTTTTAATGATCTATGACTGAGAGCTCATAATTGTTTGGCCTTGACCTGTGGGGATCCTGGGGACCTAAACAAGGGATGCTTTCCTTCAGAGAAAATGTGCACCCTTGGCTTAAGCAAGAAGTCTCAGGTTTAGACCCTGCTCTCTGTGGCTTGTTCCTACAAACTGTGCATGTGCCAGCCCTGCCTGTAGGGCAGTTCAGCCTTTCCAGTTGCTCACTTGCTCAAAACTCTAGTTTCAGCTCTTTGGGGAGTGACTGTGAGGATTTGGATTATGGATTTCCCTTCCCTTCTATTTTAAACTCAAGAAGACATTATTATTGTTTTTTACAGTCAGTGTCTGTTTACCCACATATTTATCTCTTGCGTTACCCTTAATTCTGCCCTGCCTCTCTGACCTTTTATCTGGGATCATTTTGTTTTAGTCTGAAGACCACCACCCTTTAATGTTTCCTGTAGCGTAGGTCTGCTGGTGATTCATTCCTCATTTGTGTTTAATAATTAGTGATTTTTTTTTTCTCATCATTCCCGAATCTGTGTCTTGATGTCTTTCCTCAGTTTTGGAAAATTTGGGGCCTTAACTTTTTCAAGTTTTGTCTCTGCTCATTCCCTTTTCTTCTTCTGGATTCCAATTACATGTATGTTAAACACATTTTCCTGGCGGACATCATTCCAGGCAGTACCTTCAGATCCACAGGTGCTCATAGCCCAGCATTAACAGCATGAACCTCAGAGCCAAGATTCCTGATTTTGAGTCCAGCCTTTCTGCTGCCTTGCTGTGCAGAGTGGGTGGGTTGTTCTGTTTCCTCATCCCAGCACTGGGTCCCTGGCAGCGCCTGCCTGTGGGGTTACTGTGGGATGAGGTGCGTTAACACGCAGCCTGGTGGCCCCTCTGGCTTCAGTGTCTTTCGTGGTGGCTGTGTGACACTCCAGTGTGCTGTGCGACAGGGGGAAGTCTTGAGGTGTAGAGTGGCACTTGCTCAGTGCTGCCAAGTGCGGCTAGCTCAGCAGTCGCTGAGGCCACTCTCTGCTTTTCCTACAAGGTGGGCTGTGATTGACTTGAAGACAAGTCCTAAGTCCCAGGGTTGCGAATCAGGGCCCGCACACTCCCTGCAGTGAGAGGTCAGGAGGCAGGACCGGCCTGTAACGAGCGCTTCGGGCTTGGGTCTTCCTGACCCACATCCGGGTCTGGGACCCGTTCCTGGCCCTCGCTGGGTGGGGGGGGTGTGGGTGGCAGCGCCCCGGAGCTGACCTCCCCTTCCCCGCAGGTCCAGCAGTACCGTGTGGCCATGACAGCGAAGGACTGCTCCATCATGATCGCGCTGTCCCCTTGTCTGCAGGACGCGAGGTGAGCCGCCCCCCGCCGTGCCACGTGTCCCCGGCCTGCCGGGATCCTGCGGCCCGGCCGCAGAGCCGGCGTCCCTGTACCAGAGAGGCCCCGGCAAGCTCTCGTTTGTTAACAGAGGCCGGTCTCTGAGGCCCGCCTGTTGTCCCGCGGGTTGTTAACTCTTGCTCTTCAGAAGCTGGGAACGCGAGTCAAAAAGGCATTTTTGAGGATAATTTTAAAAGACTGTTCTAGTAAATTCAAGATTACTGTTATTTTCTAAGGAAATACCTCAAGGACTTAGAAGCAGTTTGGATACTGTGGTGTGAATGCCTTTCTCTCAGAGAAAGCCTCAGTCTCCTGTCAAGACTCCGGCCCGAGACCCTGTAGGTGCCCGTGGGCCTGTTTCCAGCTCTGGATGTGCTGACCTTCGCGGGCGCTTTGAAGCCTTTAAAACAACACATCCACTGTCCGGCCCCTTTGCAGCACCTCTCCCTGGATGTCATTCCCCAGTCTCCTCTCCTGCCTTTTTTTAGGAATGCACGATGAACCTGATAATCTTTTCTCAGTGATGAGATGGCACCTCCAGCACTGACCTTGAGGGTGCCAAACCCCACACACAGCGTTTGTGGAATGTTCCACATGCTTCTGATGTGTGTTCTTGGGTCAAGATGACCTCGTCACTGGCTGCCAGCCACCCTGTTTTCTGATGCTTTTGAACTGAGCATTCCCAGGAGTCCCGCTTCTTGGCAGGCACAGAATTGTCCGTTTTCTGATAGGAAACACGGAAGGATGTTTATAGAGCATAGCTGGGAGAAAAAAAAAAAGGTTGTTCTGTTTAGTTGAAAACTCTTATCATCCCCTAAGAAACTGCCCAGTGCCCAGCTGTGAGGAATCCACTTGCTGGATGAAGCTAGTGGTGTTAGATGAAAGAAAAGTACACAGAAGGCATTCCCTGTACCCCTAAACAAGGATGCAGTCGGGATACAGAAATGTGGGGGCTGAGGGCCGGGGGTCCTGACCCCCTTGACCAGCTGCTCGACAGAAACCGACACGCTGGCAGAGGAGCAGGGACACGTGTCCACACCCTTCTGAGCCATGTGGCCGACAAACGGTCAGACTCTCCTGGGGAGTGGCCCTGCGGCCGCGCCCCCACCAGCCTGTGTGCGGACGCGTCATCTTACTGGCTGTTGGTCCTGATGTGATGTGCGGTTCCCCGAGGGCCAGGGATGTGCACTGCCCCCAGCCCGGTTGCGTGGAGCCTGGCTTTCGGGCCCTGAGAGTGAGACGCAGAAGCAAGACCTTAATTAGCACGTTCTCTGCTCTTCAGAGGGGCGTAGCTACGCCCCCAGCCACTGAGCCAGGGATTCATTGTTCCTGTAAACGGTATTTCTGAGCAGGAGTTGAGCGAGAGCGCAGGCCTTCATCGTCCTCACCAAATAGAAGGATGCTCACTGGCTTTCCCTTTCCCAGGCAGATTTCCAAACTGGTGTTTGGTCTGTTTTATTTTTTTTTTTTAACAATTTCTAAGTCCAGAAGAGTAGTGTGCCTGGGAAAACCAGGACTCCTGAATACTTCCCTTGGGCTAAACTGAGCTCGAATAATATATTTAACCAGTCGTTCGGATGCACACTGTGTTTGGAGCACGCTGAGAGCTCAGTGGTACATACACAGTCTTCGTACAAAACTCAGAATTAGCCTGGAAGTGTTTTCAAAGTACAAATTATTGTTCATGTTTTGTTATAATCATACGACTCTTCCAACATTTAGAAAAACCACAGAACTAAAACCCCGAGAAACAAATTACAAAACACTGCAGATACAATTTTGAGAATAAAACATGAAACCAGATCTGTCTCTCTCCAAATGTGAAAAACCATAAAGGAGCATGAGTTCCTCACCAGACATGGGAAAAGACACGTCAAGAGAAGTCTGTTCTCAACAGTTTATCCATTTGGCTGTTGAGGGGCCAGATCCACTTTCTACTTTTTCTTAGGTTTTGTAATACTTGGCTCCTGATGAAGTAACGTGTTCGGCATTCGTTTATACTACTGGGAGAGGGGGGAGTATCAGTCGGGTATTCGACATGATTGCTTTTCCATCTTTTTGCACTGTGACCCTCCGTCGTCTGGCGTGCTGGCGGGTACCACAGTGGGTGCCTCTCCCGCAGAAGCGCCAAACGCTAGTGCACACAGCTGGCACGGAGTCGGAACGCGTGTAGATGCACAGAGTGGGCGCTCGTGGTGAGCCGGGAGGAGAGGGTTTAGGAGGTTTGTGTGTTCTCAAAATTGCTCTTTTGCTTCCAGCTCCGATCAAAGGCCCATTGTCCCTTCGTCGAGATCCAGGTTTGCCTTCTCTGTGTCTGTGCTGGACCTGGACCTCAAGCCCTACGAGAGCATTCCTCATCAGTACAAGCTAGACGGCAAGATAGTCAACTACTATTCAAAGACTGTACACGCCAAAGACGCCGCCGTGATGTCGACCAGGTTCAAGGACAGCGAAGATTGCACATTAGTTCTCCACAAGGTCTAATTTTTTCTCCCCTGTAGCATCTTTGAAACTTGAACATAGAATGTGAAGGTTGAGTGATAGAGCTATTTTCTGTTGTCTTGGGTGACTTTTGGCTGTGAATGCTTTTGCTTTTTAACCCCTGTTCAGGTGGGGCTGCCTCCAGGAGACACGGAATGAAATAGCACTAAGACATCTTCCAGGACGAGGAAGGACGGACCGGAGCCCCGCACTGTGCTGTGTCCCAGGAGGCCCCTCTGGGCGGGTCTCCCTTCCTGCGCAGGGCTCCTGTCTAATCTCTACAAAAATAGCCTTATTGTAAGACCCAAGGTTTGGCTCTCCTACCACCAGAACCCTAACATAGGAAACTTGAATTGTCATGCACACCTTACGGTTTGGACTTTAAGGACAACACGGATACTACTGGAACTCTCCCAGCTGAGTTACCCGGTCACTTTGTCAATGCAAGCCACACGGCAGTGCGGGTCAGCGGCTCCCTGCGGTGGAGAGCGATGCGCTGTTGGCGTGGACATCAGTTCTGAGCAGCGGACTCGGGTCCCTGTGGACGTGCCCCACCCACCGCTCTGCACGGGGTCGGCAGGGAGCGTGGGACTCAGGTCAGGGGGAGACACCACTCGTGTGAGCAGTGACTTAGTGTGTGTGTGTGTGTGTGTGTGTGTGCGCGCGCGCTGAATGATTTTATCTTTTGACTTCAAGGGAGACAAGGCGTTCTTTTCCACCTGAAATTGCTGCTGTGGACGCGGGAAACAGAGCTGCCACTCGGCGCGATGATGGCCCCGGGGTGGATGTCACGGGGTAGCTGTGCTCCTGCCAGCTCTGTGTTCCTGGCATTTTGGGTGTTTGTGGAACTTCGGTTACTTCTGCAAGAGCCAGCACCCGAGTCTTCCCTCCGCCCCATCCCTGCTCCTCCCTCGGGTTCCACTGACACACATGGGGGTGGTGGCCTCGGGTGGTGCTGGGCCACCTCCCCGTCGGGGCTGCCCAAGGCCCTGCTTCCGTGAGATGAGCGACTCCTGGCTGGCACCCAGAGGGCTCTTGTTGGGGTCACCAAAGTGTGCCCAGCTGCTATGAAACCTGTTGGGAATCTTGGCTTCATTTTTTTATCCTATGGGAGGTTGTATAGATAGATTATTTATATCATCATTTTGAGGGACTAATGAAGGCTTATTGTAATATAATATTATAATATTAGCAAAACCATGGAATTGTATGAAAAATACTACACGAATAATAAGGAGAGTATTTTGCTGATTGATTGTAAATTTTTTTGTGGGGAATTTTGTGATAAATTGAGAATTACGCTTATTTGAATCAAGCCATCTCTTCTAGAATTTATTCTTCAGTTCTGTCCTACCATTTCCTTCTTACGTCTCCACTTGGGAGATACTCAGAAGACACACGACCCTCATCTGTGTGTGGTGTGTTGGGGGTACAGGGGCTTTGGGGGGCTCCGCCTGTAGGGACGGGCGTGGAGCCACGTTCTCGTGGGCAGGTTGCAGGCTCCAGAGTGCGTGGAGGTGGGCGGCTGCCCAGGCTGGTTTGGCCTGAGGTGGTTCCTTGTTGGGGGCCTGGGGTGAGGCTGGTCTCGCCAGGCCCCAGGGTGTGCACAGGACCCCGATTCCCTGTGTGCGGAGCCTTGGGGCCCTGGCCTTTCAAAGAGGCTGGGTGGGCGGCCTCCCGTGGCCCGTCCTGGCTGCACTGGGCAGACTGGAAACAAGCAGCCAGTACTTGGGGAAGGTGGATGGGCGAGCATCCCTGCTGGACGGCCCTTTTGGCCCAAGGCTGTGCTCCTCTCACATGCCACCGTGCCCCCCCCCCCGAGGCCCTCATTCCGACTGAAACAATATTTTCACCTCTTCTACTTTAAACTGGTGACTCAGGCCAGTGTAGCACTTAGAATCTGGGGGACTTTAACAAAGACACTGTTTCTTCTGTTCCGGGACACCAGGGGTGCTAGGGACAATGCCGTATTGCTGTCTTCCTGCCTTTTTTAAGCTAACCGCTCTCTTTTTTCATGTGTGGAAGCCACAAGCAGAGTGACTGTCAGAGGACGTGCTGCTGAGAGGTGCTCTGAATGACTCCAAGAGCTGGGAGATTGGGGGGGGGTCTCCTGGGGTATCTGAGGAATGTCTTAAGAAATGAGGCAGCCTTGGCAAGAGGCCTGCCTCCAAGAGTCCCCAGGCGCTGAGTGGCAGGAGGAAGCCCGACCCATGGGATGGGCTGGTGCCACCTCTGACTCGGACCTGGTGTGAGGCGGGGGGCACAGCAGCTTCCCGCACCCCAGGACAGACGTCCACTCCTGTACTTTCTCATGTTAAGTTTACTTTGAAAAATACTATGTCACTTGTTTGGTATCTGGAATTTAAATAACTGTATTTATTTTTCATGTCCTGACAACTTATATATAATGTGCCATAATTGCATAAACACATTCTAAAAAGGTAGAGTTTCTAAGTGGAAAAAAAGCAAATGTTTATATTCAATAAAATCCCCCGCCTCCAGGGGCAGCATCTTACTCCTCTGTGTTCACTGCCTGGGAACTAGTTCTCCTCTGTGCAAAGCGATTTTATCAGGCTTTCCAGAGTGGCTTCAATGCCCAGCACACCCAGCAGGGTTCGGAAGCTGAAGGGAGCAGTTTCGACGACTCTGTTCTTGTCCAGTTCCAGGGCTGTTAAAGAAAACACACTGTAAGAAATCTCACCGAGGCCTCCCTTCACTCCCGCGTGGCCACAGTGAGCGGGAAGCCGGGACGACTGACTCAGGGCCGGGCACAAAGCCCTTACCTGCACGCCACGGGCAGAGACAGGCGTGCGTTTAGCCCAGGAGCGCCACGGGGGAGCAAGCGCCCTTGCATGTGCTTTTGGAGTGATTATTGATAAAAATATTTTGAAAACCGATGTAAAAAGTACAAAAGACTTGCTTCCTGCCACGTAAAATCGGATGCAGTAAGTAGGTGTCTCCAGCGCATCCCCACGGGTCCTTACCTTGTAGCGGAACTTGGGTGAGAAGGTCCAGCTTTGGCAAAACCTTCCCTTCTTCATCTATCTGTATCCTCCAAACAATGACTAGTTCAAACCTGAAAGAGATGCGATCCGCTGCTTAAGGGCTTTGTGAAATCCGGTTAAAAGGGTGACCTGCCCACCTGTCTCTCCAGGGCGAGGATGCCCACCCGGCAGGAGCGCCGCCCTCCTCCCCACCTTCTGAAGCTCCTGCCCTTCCCCAAGGCCGTGGGCAGACTCCCCCGATTTAAAGACATCTACCCACAGATGAAGAGAAGGTGTGGTCAGTTAAACGTGGGAAGATGTTCAACGTCATTAGCAAACAGGAAAAATGGAAACTGAGACCATATGGTGTAGAAAGATACGGTTTGGTACCCACTACACATTAGCCTGAACATACGGGATGGCAAGTAACAGGAACTTAAAAATTACTGGTGGGAAATACAAACTGATAAACTATTTTGAAAAGAAATTTGGCAGTGAGAGCTGAGTTTACCCTGTGACCCAGGAGTTTCCCTCCTAGGTATATGTCCAAAAGCAGCTTGTGTACTTCTGTGTCAGGAATGTCAGAAATAGTGGGAAATGACGAATAACCCACATGCCCAAGACCTGAATGCAGAAACACATATATTCACCTAACGGAGTAAAAGTGCTGAAAATGAATGAGCTTCAGCCACAGGCACCCCCACCAAGGTGCATTTTGGAAATAATGCTGAATAACAAGGCAAGTTCCAGGAGCTCAGGTAACTGCACCGCCACGGGAAGGCTTGAAGGCAGAACATCTTGAGATACTCAAATGCAGGTCACAGAAGCACACCACGTCCAGGTGGGTCTCCCCCGGTGCTCACAAAGGCACCCACGGTGGGTGGAGGGAAACCCAGGTGAGTTCGCCCCTCCCAGCCTTCCCTGAGGTAAGTTGATCAGAACAGCTCTGCTTTTCCCTTGGCCTCCCAGGGACCCCGGCAGTGAGACCAGCACACGCTGGGGTTTCCGTCACACCCCGTCTGACGTTTGCAGTCCTCACACTCCCCTTCTCCCTCACCCAGGAGGGCCCCCCTCGTGCTCTTACGACTCCACAGATGTATCTCAAGATGTCAGGGGGTTTGCATTTGTTTTCTACTATTTGCAGTCCTCAGTTTTAGCAGGGAACCCCTGTCTGGCTGTGGGCAGGGGCCTGGCAGGGCACAGCACTCACCCTGGCTGGCGGGGGCTCCGGATCCCCATGCAGCTGGAGGAGGCCCCCTCTGACAGGTGCACCACCTCTGGGTACTTCTCCTGTGGGGAGGAGAAACAGTTATAGAGAAATCTGTGGGGCGCAAGGACGCTGCTCCAGGAGACTGAAAAAAAGTGAGAAATTCTTTTGAGGTGTGTCTTGCATTCCCTGAAAGTCTGTAAGTTTCAGATGCGCCACGTGCTCAGGTCGTGCATGGCATCACGGTGTCCTGAGCACGGGCCCAGGAGAGCCATCCCCACTCCTAGACTGCCCCGGCCACGTGGCCTCCAGGCTTCACACTGTCAACTCCCCAATGCTAACGTGTCACACAAGTCCATTTTGAGTTCACTGGTCTGTCTACCCAGGGCCCCGCAGCATCCTGTCTGTCTCTGGTGACCTGGACAGCTGGACGAGGCTGGTCAGACATGCTGCTGTCATCAGGTGCTGCCTGCCAGGTTTCTCACTGTAAAGTGAATGTTTCTCTGGAGCTGTTAGCATTCGACCTGAAAAGCCTCTCAAACTCAGGCCTGTGGGCTGAACCCCCAGCACCGTGGATGCTCCCACCCTGTCCATCCTCACGCCTGCTGCTGAATGGCCACAGCTGCACGTCAGCAAGCGGGGGCAGATGGCTCTTGAACACCCAGCGCGAGGCTCCCTGGACTCTCCTGGTGACTCCCCTGACTCCCCTGTGTGTCTCCCCCCAAGCGTGGTGTCCAGCTATTCTGGGTACTGGGGTTTGGGGGAGCACACTCTGCTAAAAGTCAGCTCTGTGATGAGATTATGCACCATTTTAGAGTCAAAAGGATTTTAAAATGGAAATGAAGTCCAATTTCACACATCTCCAGGCCTGCAACTCTCTACTTGAGTTGGCTCCCCCTACCCCCCATGTAATGTAATAGTTCTGGAAATGTCTGCTTCTTTCTATTATTTGTAACAGGCCCTGGGAACCTCTAGTTTACCAGAACTGACACCCGTAATTTAGACTTGACTTTAGGTCATTAGAACAACAAAGTTTTGCAGGAATCTTAACAGAACGTTCGCAACAGATCTTCTGAGTTCCTGGAAAACTGCCCAGCCATTGTGGCCGCCCCAAGCCTCGTGGAAGGACAGTGAGGTGTGGCTTCATCTGAGAAATGTCTGGGGTCTAGCAGCCAGTCAGAGAACCCCCTCCCCCTGAAAAACAAGGGGCAGGGCTGGAACTGGGGGTGGCACAACCCGTAGGCTGCAGAGGATGGGGGCTTCCTGAGGCTGCAGGTACTTGACGGCTGAACCAAGTCAGCTCCATCAAATGAGGGCTTGTGGGGACAAAGATGTGTCACAACTTTTAAAGGACTAGTTCGCATATCAGTGAGCTTGCTGCCAGCGTGTGAGGCCAGGGCTCCCAGACCCCTGTGCAGAAAGGATGCTGATGGAGCAAGAACACGTCCAAACACCAAGCCATTCTGACCAGAGGCTGGGGTGGGCCTGGTTTAAACTTACAGATGATTTTGTATTTCAACAGAACAGTTTTTATGAGAAAATGTATACCTAAGTGTTTGAAATGGAAAGGCCTGGTTGATTTTTTTTTTAACCTCAAGCTCTTCTAAATTAATAACAACTGTATGAGGAATGTAAAGGGGAACATGTGAATGTGGCGATGTAACTTCCAGGCTGCGCTGGAAGCACGTGGCCTGGGCCGGTTCCAGCGTGGGGCCCAGGGGCTTGGTCCGCCTCCAAGCAGACCTCACTGCCTCTCCAGGGCTTCTCCTCATGAGCAGAAGGACGGTTTAGATTAGAAGCTTTCAATAAAAAAAATAAATAAACAACCTGTACTCTCTTTAGTTAACAAAGAAAAAAAAAGACAGAAATGCTGACATTCAGAAGACATTTAGTCTGTGTTTCTGGAGGGCTAGAGGGTTGTGTGGAAAGCTTCCTTTTCTACAAATTAATAATATTGCTCCGTTTATCTAGCTTCATTCACTTGCCTGGTGACCTCAAATATTCAGAGCACAACCACTGACAGGAAGAAAACAACTAAAGGCTGAAAAGAGGCCCAGAGAGACAAAAA